AGTATTGGTGAACACTTGAGCGCGTGTTTTCACATCCAACTTCGCCCACATATTCTAGCGAAGATATTTGTTCATTTTGAAGGACTTACTAAAGTGTAAGTAACGCATTTACGCTAGTATTATATCTCTCAATTTTGTTTTGCTTTTTTCTTTAATTCTTGGGTACCTTTATAGAGATATTCTGTATCATCAACTTACGGTTGTGGCTGTTCAAAATTATTTTTATTTTACAGCATACGTTAAATGGACTTTTTAATAGGTTTGAATGAGTACCTTTAACCGTAAGGGTAGTTAAAGTGAAAGAAATAATTATGAATTTCAGTGACATCTGTCATTTTTATTAAAATTGGGACGCGGGACCCGAAATAAAATGAAGTTCGGAACAGAATGGAAACGAAGGGGGAACCCAAGCTATTTTGGACGTTTAAATTAAATACACGTCGATTTTGGTGGGAAGGGGGACATCTTTTACCTTAAAATTTACGGTCCTATTGTACACCCTCTAATGCCACCCCTTCAATAATTCGTTTTCATTGGGCCATCCTGTATACTTGAACTTTTTAACACGGCATGTCAAGATGCTACGTTTGATGGGTGTCTTGCAATTTCGAAAAAAGGGATACGGTACAGCTGGTATAAATTTACACCAAAACCACTTTTCCTTTTTTAAACTTTCATTTAGAACATTATCGAGTAGAAAAAATGAATCGCACATCGGTCATATAGCGATAGGTGAAAGCCCGTTATTTTAGAATAAATTTGAATTCGTATTTGGGACGTGAAAGTGGTTTTGAAAGACCGAGATCGTTTGTCTGTTGCGTCTTGTGACAAATGTCAGAAGGGGGGCGATTTTCTTGTGGCATGCCAAAATAACGGTGGTTTTCGAATTAGTAATTTACTAGACATTGTATTATAGTAGTGTTAGGTAAATGGAGACAAGGTTTTTCCTGTGCGGGGTATATTAATCGCTTTTAAATGAAAACGATCATATGAAAATAAAAAGGCACGTCTTTATAATCACTCAACGCATAACTGGGTAAATGGGAAAACAATGCTCGAAATGTTCAGCAGTTACAAGAACTTTAGAAATGATCAAGCTTCTCGGAAAGTCACGGGAAGAGTTTCTCTTGAAAAGTGAAAATAAGGTGCTTTTGACGAAAACTATTAACAATCATTAATTTTTGTTTAGAACTTTTTTCCAATATCGATCATGTACGAGAATTGAATTAGAAGTAAAGATTGATACTCAAAATGATGGATTGCGCTAGCGTTTCAAAAGGAATTTTTTCGAGTACTCATCGGAAAACGATCCTGCAGTAAAGCTTCCCAATTTGAACCCTCAAAGTAAAAACACGTAATTAAACTAAAGTAGGTTAATTGATTTCTAGTGTAAATACTATCCCTTAATTGTGTAAAGTTTTAGTTGAAAAAAAAATGTGGGGATGATGCGTAACAAGCTGTAAAATTTTCTAACTACCCCATTTTAATGAGTTCATTACTTTTTAGAGAATCGTGCGTATCGATCAACCGTTTACCTCTCATTATTTACGAAATTTCCGTTAACATGCTATCGGGTTATTCGCAGTAAGGTGTAGTTATTCGCAAACTTGAAAGCGCCACAAAGTAATTAATCAAAATGGGAATCGTTAGAAACACGCGTTTGCACCCGACGATTTACGTCATCGGTAGAGACTTGGAAAACAAATCCATTTCGCACGCTGAGAGAAGAGCGATGTGACCTAAATTGACGGTAAGGCGCATTCGAAAATTGCAAAAGCACATTTAGCCAACTTGAAAGGGGAGACACTTGAAGCAAACATTAACGTAGGCGCTGCGCTGATTAAAAAATCTGCATACAGCCCCGGAGGCGAAACGTCGCTTGTTTTACGAGTGCCCTGGGAGAGGTACGTACGCATTCACATGTAAAATGGCACTCTCAAAGTAAAATTAAATATCAACCGGAAAACGCCAGATGCCGAATTTATATTTCGTGGGTGTTGATTGCGCGCTCGGGCGTCTCGATTACCTACCCCCAAATCGGACACGTTAATTAAAACATTTTTTTTTCAAGATTCTTGATTACCTAGTACTCTTTTTGCAAAGTTTCGTGATCACGCACAATTTGTTTGCACTTTTCTCCATATTCATAGTGTTTATACTCGGTAATTTACGAGGGTTGTTAGTCCTGTGCGGTATAATTAAATGCGCGATTATTGAATTACGAGCTTTAGATAAAACTACCCCTTACATTTAAAATGCGCGCGGGTAGGTATTACCTGTTTTTTTTTACTGAACAAATTTATTGTCTTTTCCACACTCTTCGCCTTAAGGGGGGTTATATGCACATTTTTTACTCGAGCTGCGCTATATTAATGTTTAGCTCCAAGTGTTTCCTCTTTAAATTTAGAATGTTTTTTATGTTCTCACGATTTTCCTTCGGCTATTTCATACTTCTATTTACTTTCGTCGCTGCGACATCTGTTGAGCGTTTCGCTACTTTATGGACTTTTAAAAAATAACGGCGACCATTTCACTTTTATTGCAGCTAAACGAAATGATCGGTGTTCTTTATAAATTGTACTCAAAATAATGTTATACTTATAGGGCGAAACGTTTCCAAAATTACTTTCTATTACGGATTTTTTTCTTATTAATCTTAATAGTTTAATCGAAGGTTTACGAGCCCACATGTTCCATCTTGTGCACACAAATTTTATGATGTGTATACCAAGTTTTTAAGTGGGTGCTAAAATTTAACACAATCTTTGTGTTTATCCAATAAAAAAAACTTGAATCATCCTCTTCGAGACGCACCATAATCTTTTTTTATATATCGAACGATTTTCCGACACTCAAAACTACATTAGCGAAATAGAACCTTGCCAGCGAGGATATAGGGAGCATTTCCATATCGCCCAACTAAAAATAAAGCAAATGATTAAAATATTCAGTGATTGGGAAGGACTAGGACCCCCCTGTCGAAGATCACAATCTATTAGAAAATTTTCTGATTTTTTTTAAAATGTGAACTGTGCGCATACTTAAATGAAAGCTTCGCTTTTCCATTCTTAATTAATGATCTCATTTTTGTTTTAACATGCTCATGTTTTTAAAGGCAAAACTGAGAATAATTACATGATGAAAGGAGCTTTCATGGATGGCATGGATATATTTTAGTTCGCCGAAATGAACGATTTCGCTACTTCCTTTCATCATTGTGCATTTTCATGTCGACAAAGTTTACAGAAAATAATCAGCGTTTCCAATTTTCTTTCACGCAAACTTCATCTTTTGTGGCGTTCCATCACTTGCTTTAATTTAATAGTTTCCTTGCCAGTTAAAAATCAATGAAATAGCTCAGCAAACATAAATATAGTAATTAAGCTCATGCGGAACTCGTTTATTAATTGATTTTTTCTTTTATTTTAGGTAAGTCTTCTGACACCGCATCAGCACCACCAAATTCGTCCAGTCTTAAATAGTAAGTTTTCTACAACTAAGAAAAAATCGCATTAGCGATTACAAAACTTTACCCCGAAACCTCTAAATCGAGTGGGGGGTTAAACAATATTATTACTTAGGAAATACAAACTCTCAACTAATGAAAAATAACCAAATTTCTTTTTTTGGATTCAATTAAATGCAATACAAATCTGGTTCATACTATTAATATCCAGAGATATGTTGCTTTAAGGATATTATGATTACGTCCAAGTGAACATTCAGTGTACATTCTGAAAAATAGCCGACAAATACTTAATACAACTCAAAAAATTTGAAGTAACGTACAGATACTGCTAAAATCGGTGATTTCTTTAAGTTTCAAATGGCACGGCCCTCCCTTGAAAAAGGCTCCCTCCGCGAAAAATTGAAAACTGGATCTCTTTTAAGGCGGTACAGTTGAACCCTTTATGGAAATTTTTCCGGAAGGTATAGCTTGTGTTTACCTCGATTGCATTTAAAACTTGCGCCAAATTCTCGAGAAATCACTCGAGCTATGGGCATTAGTGCACAGAGAATAACAAAAAACCAAACTCTACTGCATATTATACCGAAATTGGCATATAATTTCTGACGCAGGTTTTCTACGTACTCGTTCCCCACAGTTTGTTCCTGGCCCGGTCTTGTACCAAGTTTTAAAACACACGGTATCCGGTTCCCTGCCAAATAACGCGGATGCTGGGGCACAACTTTTGGCAGAGACTTCCTCATTGTCCTATTCATGTGTTCTGCCCTTCCTTGGATGTAAAACAGTGATTCAGGTCTTGCGTATGTCTAATAATTGGCACAGTATAACGGTTGGGGGAGTTGGCGCCGCGTTTCCTCAAACCCGCCGCATAAACGGTCAACTGGAAACTAGAAAATACAAGCTTGAGATCTGTCACAGCGGTAGCTCTCTGGGCATTTGCACTTAATCCTTCGTTGCACTTACCAATGGCTGAGCGCCACTCAATTTCTAACTTAACTCTCCCCATACGAAATTGAGAAGACACTAGGGTAGTAATAACAGTAAAAATCAATTTAGGAACCACAAGAAATGTTTAATACCAAAATAATAGTGAGCTCCATTCTCGCATTCAAAACCTGAAATTAATCAAAAGGAAATCTCGGCCGCAGAGCTCGGTATTATATTAATTGATTAATGCCTGATGGGTCTCGCTCTACTCGAAATCTGTTTCTGTAACAGGTACGGAACTTAATCGGCTAGCCACTTCCTAAAGACAACAATATTCGCGGTTCAAACTCGGATCATAATTTAACCGAGATGGCAAAGATATTAAATAGGTACTAATGTTAACAAATTACTAGAATGTGATAGCATTTAACCCGAAAGGGGTGAAATAGTTATTAACTAATACGCTAAAGAGTTACAGATGTTGTCTCTTTGTTGCGGATCGATCCTTGGTATCAAATCTTGTTCATGACCTGTTCACCCATTTCACAGCAAATGGCCGCTCGTTATTAGCAGATGGAAGGTGTGTCAGGGGCGTAGGCACTCACAATTGGTGACCTTAATGCAAGGTATGTAATGTAACGTATCCGTAATTTAAACCGGTACTTGTAATTGAGACTTAAATTAAAAACCCTAAAAGAAATCAAAGATAACTCTCCATCGTTGATGTCAATAAATGCACCTCTTAAATAAGAGGGCTGATAGTAGATGAAGTAGCAATGGAAAAAAATGTCGTACACAAATTACAGCTGGCCCTAACACTTGAATTACGCGAAATGCAAATGGCGGTACTTACGATAAGGCAGAAAAAACGCAATTAAAATCCTCACTATTGGAGTTTATCGGTCCTAGTTACTGCAAAATCTCCAATTTCGCGAATCCAATCGCCAGGGATTAATAAATATTGATGATGGCAATTAAAAAAAATCCATGCGTTCTAACCAACGCTTTCAGCTGTTTTAGTAAAACGAAGTGTAACTTGGTGTTCTCAACAGAAAGGAAGTAAAAGTGACAATTGATAACGACGGAAAATTGCGTGGTTAAAATTGCAACAATAGATGGAGCTATCTATTCAAAATTTACGAGGAGCTTACAAATTTTTGGGTCTCAAATTTAAAAGATATATGGAAAACGGTATATAAGTATAAAATATGGTGCAAGAACCAAAATGTTTAATTTCAAATGATGTTTAAAAAGTTTTATTCAACCACTAAAAGAGATCTAGGGTTTTTAGTTGCATTATATAATAAATAAATAATAAACACTAATTCCAGAACACGAATCATATACAGCTAGTGCAGTGGCTTAACTACAATGCCTCAAAGGTACACAATGAGGACGGGCCCCGACTTAAAAGGGACCCCGACCAAAATATACAAAAATTTAATTCGTTTATACAAGCTCCTTTCAATGATATGCTTTTATTAATTCTTTACATATTTTCCGTTACTAAAGGAAACTTAAAAAAGCGTAATGCAAATGCTGGTTAATGTTTTATTTACGAAGGGCCATGCACCTGCTTTTTTACAGTTTACAATTACAGTCCGAAGAAAATTCTGAATTATTGTTCTGGGAGGGTAAATATAAGTGAAAAATCTGGAGAAATATCTGCAATATACAAAAATTAACAATCCGAGGAAGTAACTCTTGAATTTCAATAATTTAAATCTGACTTTAATCTAATACAACATCTGAATGCCCAACAGTAGCCAACTCAAATAGATTTAAAAGCAACTCCACTCCTTTCCCATTTGTGAAAAATAACATATCGGCTACTCCGAATTAGGTTTTCCTGCAGTTTTCCTAATTCGTAAGGTAAATACCGGAGTAGTATAAAACAACTTAGACCTTCTGCAGAGGCACATCTAAAAAGCATTATGCGGGTCACTCTTTAATTGGGCGCAAGCCTGTTGAGGGTCCAGAACAAGAAACGGATAATAAATAAATAAATATTAAAGAAATCAAAATAAGAGAATAACATTTAAAGTGAAACAATTAAATAACAAGCAAATTCAAGGGTTACATACCCCTAGTTACAAATAGCTGAAGTCAATACAAGTTACCTTTTGTTATTACACAAAGATTGACATTTAAAGTTCGAACAAAATCAAGGACTCTTACTGAACGCAGAAAGCGGTGACTCTAAATTCTATAATGGACCTGTGCATCAATGAATTACAAAATGCAAAATCAGCAAAGCCAAATCAAGACACTATTTTCTACAGATACAGATTAACATCGTTTAAAAATTGCTCATATAAGGAAAGACCCCCAAATATTTTTGATGACGAGCCTCGAAAATTTTAATATTGATTAAATAATCTAAAAAACATCAATTTGTTAATAATCCTAAAGCTTTGTTCGGGGCTTCGAATAAGGATCGTTCTGGAATTGCGATTGCAGGAGTCTCATGAATGTCTACGTGCATTTAGGTTGACTTTATCGCAAATCTGCGGGAGTTCGAAATTTAAATAAAACATTTCCTTCCATTCTCGCGCATAGAATTTCTAAAGATCCATTGCAAATCAAAAATGAAGCCTTATATTATTCCATTTCCTTCATGCATTGTTCATGAAGTCGCATACGGTCGGTACTCAATTAAAAGCATTTAAATATTTGATGCGATGTATGAAATATCTAAGGTTTGTGACCTGGGCCTGAACATTTTGTACAAGAAAGCTGATTGCGTGTAAATATTTTAGTCCCTATAAAACAGTAACTTTTATTGCCGGTGCCGCGGATAAAAAAAATATTTCGGAGTGAATCAATACGGCACTTCTCGGGAAGGCGGAAATGGAAAATCAGCCCGATGGCCGATAATTTGACTGGTAAAAATCGGTCACGGCATCGATTTTGGGGCACTTCAAATCTTGCTTAGATATTTAGGGGGATGACCCGGATCACAATGTGGCAGTTGCACGAATTCGGCTTGCGGGGATGGCTTAACATAGCCGACATGCAGATAAGGCTAAATCCCAATACGAAAATGTCTAAAACAACGTTAATTCGCGCGGTGTGGATTAGTAATATCAAATAATCATACAAACGCACGCTGGCATGCTGCGGTTTTACCAAGATCTGGCTCCAGGACGAATTACATTACGCCGCCATACTCCACGGGGTATAGAGAAGGTATTTAATTAATAGACGCTTCGTCTTCCGCTGCGCCGCTAACGTCGTTTATTTTCAGCGCGCCTCGACTAAAACATTTATTTACTTACGATTCAATTGCAATCAAATTTTTACTGCGAAAGGTATAAGGGCGGTTTTATGCGCTTTTCGGAGGGGAAGCCGCGCTTTGCTCATATTTTATTTACGAGCCAGTATATTTAATTCAGATATTAGGCTCTTTATTAAACCATTTAAAGCTGACCGTACACTCGTTTCCGGAAGCGGTGGCTTTTTAATGCAAATCGAAAGCGCGCCAGGCTTTCCCGACGCATGGTGGAAAAAGGCGGTGTCCATTATCAACCGAAATATATACCTACGTGTCGATTGCCGTTAAGTGGTTTGTGTGCATACTGCAGCAATCAGATTAAAATTTAAATTATGGCCTGTAACTAAGATATGGTCTTATCTAAAATTACGATCAGGCGAAATTTTAACCTGGGGACTCATAAATTTCGGCGGCAACTATATTTATATCATCACGTTAACGAGATGATTTATGAGACATAAAATTTAGTATGTTGAGCGATAGTGAATCCGATTAACTCCGTACGTTTTTCGCTGATTGATGGATGGACGGATGGAGGTTTCGCGAGCAAAGGAAAGAGGAGTCTCACAACTGACAATTCGTGTACAACCAATACAAGTAATTGATTTCGGAGATTTTATTTAGGACGGGCGGCGGCATTATTTATGATCCGGCCATTTCCTAGATCACCGGCCGAAGCGTGGGCCCATTACGTGGACAGTTGCGGCGAGCCATATCACTCCACCAAAGTGCCCTGGGGAGAGTGATTTGCTACGGTATTAAGAAAGATTGACCCCCTTACCTACGACTAAATCGATAACGCGGGAAATGCTTAATAAAATTTTGACTTGGCACAAACTTGCCGAAAAAAAAAACAGTTATTTAATCCAGAATTACGAAGATTTCCGAGGGCGGACGAAATCTGGCGGTGACTCCCTAACCCGTGGACGCGGGATCAATACGTGGCCCTTACGAGAGGATACCTACCAAAAAAAGTGGAAGCAATTACTCAGTAATACCTTGTTTAATCGCGAACGATTCCAATTCCAATTTGTTTACGAACGAAAAAACGCCGCAATAATTATTAATATTTAACCGCAAGCGGTGACGCCGAAGTGTTAATAATCTGATTACAAGCACGGCCGGTCAAAGTTATATTTAGTTCGCGCAAAAAGTCTAAAACCAATTTCGCAAAATTGAGCGAGAAAATCTCGGAGACGTCCCCAATCGATTTCGCCTGTTAAATTTTTCATCTATATATATTTGTGAAAGGCCCCTCACTTTTCAGCTCGACCGTAGTTTAATCCCTCGCGTAATTAGTTCGTAGGTGGTTTAACCTTCTTATTAGTAAACCAAGATTTTCGAAACCTTTCTAAACGAGTCATTAACTCCAAGCTAACTAGAACGCTGGCTAAACTTAAAGAAGGTAGAATCGTAGAGAAAGGGACTAACTAGCTGAACGTTTAATCATCTGAAATGCGGAACTTTAGATAATCCGCAAGGACCCCCTCCTGATGAACGCGCGATTTGTCTTGTTAAAAATTATTTACGTTATTTCGAACCCTTTTGGGCGATTATTTCACATGCAGTAGAGTATCACTTCAGTGGGAGTGATTTAAAGTGCCATAAAGCTGATTTGCGATTGCATAATGTGGCAGTGTAAACATGGTTTGATTACGCCACTTCGTCTAATTAAAAAATAGGGTAGAGCGAAGTTCCTCCAACTTTAATTGCCGACTTGGTCGTCTTAAACCCAAATTTTTGTTTGTTCTCTTTTTAAATTGCTCATCAATTAGTACGTATACCGCTGAAATTCCACTCCTTCAGCTTGTTTTTAATGTAGACTTTAAGGAATAGTAGAAGATGTGGCAGTATCCGAGGCATTTTCCAAGCAAACGGAGAACTAAAATTTGTACCTCTCAATCTTTTCAGTAATCCAACAGTATAAGCGTCAGAAGGGGTTTTATATCTCATCCCCTTTGGCGGAGTGGACACCTTCTTGGAAAATTTCAATCACATAATGAATTTGAATATGGTAAATGAAAAAAATGAGTTAACAAAATTTTACATGTTAGTGATATATGACAATTTTATTGACAATTAATGCATAGGCTTTGTTACATGGATAACATATTTTAAAAATTTCTTCGAAATCAATTTAAGAACTCCTATTATTTGTTTATAAATGAGTAACAAATAAAATATTGTACATTGTACGCTAAGTAATAGTTTTTACCTGAAACCGTCAAGAAAATCTAAATTTCAGGGCTATTTTGACATTAGAAAGTTGATCTTTACCTGACTAGTACTGTAATATTTTTGCCTGGCGCCCATTACAGTCCTAGTACATGCAAAATAACAATTAGATCATTC